GCATGGGTGCCCTGGGGGGTTTATATAGGCCTACCCCCCGGGGTACAATGGTAATTCGACTGGGCGCGGGCCCAGCCGTCAGTGCCTCCGACCTCCGACTTCTCCGCCGACTGTTGGGGCCCGCCGACTGGTCTGGTACTGACCCAAAAGGCCGCCTCCGTCGCGGGCAGGTCTTGCCGGCCGCTGATTACTGTAGCCGCGCTTCTGATGACGCAGGCTTGGTCATGGGGTTGTGGCAACAGCCCCGCCGCCTGGCGAGTGATCACTGTGGCCACTCCCCATCTCATCTTGATTAATGGCGCGTGGGCCCCGGGGGAGGGCTCGGCCGACTCCCCCGGGCCGACTCCCGACGGGTCCGACTGGCGGTTCTCCCGCCGTCTCCCGAGGTCTCGCTGACTGGTGGGCCCCGCTGCCTCCAAGCCGTACAGACAAGCCGTCGTGGGCGCAGGACTTGGTACTGTGATGCTGATGTCAGGGCCGGCCAGGCAATAGTGCCACGCCGCACGAAGATCTTCCCGGGTACGGCGTGCTGTGGCCATGCTTGCCCTTGGTAAGGGGCGGGAGTGGGCTTCACTGTAGCCACGCCTCTGCCCCGTCCCCTTTGATGAGGTCATGGGTTTGCTGGAGTCGCCGGCCGACTCCCCAAAGCCGGCTTCTCTGGAAGTCGTCCCTGGAACTCGGCCGTGAGCGGGCAGTCGGCCGCCCTGCCGTTGACTCCTCAGGAGACGGCTCTTCGTCCTGGGGTCTTGAGGGGCGCAGCCTGCCCCGATATCTTGAAAGGTTATGGGACTCGGGTTGGCCTACCCGTGGCCCATTACTCCAACACATAATCTCATAGTCATAGGAACATGTATAAGTCATGAAGAAAGCAATAGCAACATACTAAACGATTGAGTGGTAAGCTAACGGAATGGGTCAAGTCAATCACATCATTCTCCTAATGATGTGATCCCATTAATCAAATGACAACTCATGTCTATGGCTAGGAAACATAACCATCTTTGATCAACGAGCTAGTCAAGTAGAGGCATACTAGTGACACTCTGTTTGTCTATGTATTCACACAAGTATTATGTTTCCAGTTAATACAATTCTAGCATGAATAATAAACATTTATCATGATATAAGGAAATAAATAATAACTTTATTATTGCCTGTAGGGCATATTTCCTTCAGATGATTCTATCATGACGATGTCAATAATGTGATCTTGACAACTCTATCTTGATAGTGGTAGACAATGCAGGGTTATGATGAATCTAGGGCCATTGATTCGACGAAGGTGAACCTAGGTTATGATGAAGCTAGGGTCATCGAGTCGTCAACAATGTTTACCCTAGGGTTATGATGAATCTAGGCTCACCGAGTCCTCGATGACAACGTACCTCAGTTACATCACAACTCTTCATGTATATCACACTTTCATCACGTAGATCACAAGATAGCATCACAACTTCATCAAATCATATCGCAATATAGAGTGTATCACAATAGATAGCTTCATCAGTTCACAACAATAGACATAAGATCATGACATCATCAGTCTTCAAACCACATAGGTACCCCCTTTGTAAATAAATATATGATCGTTTAGATCACTAAAGATCCCTGTGTAAAGAAATATGAGATCCTTTAGATCACTACTTTAGTGATCTAAACAATCTTATCTTTATTTACAGAGGGAGTAGATAACAATACCATAGAAACATAGTCTTAGGAACATAGGTACATAGAAACATACTATGAACAATTAGCTAGATAGCAACATACGTAAATATGTAGTTCTCAGACATCTAAGTCTCAGCCATTCATCTTAATGACATAATGTCCATCAGAAATCCCCTTGATGTTCTTCACCTTACCCTTGTTAACTTCCTCGACATTGAGCAGGTCAATAATTACATACTTCAACTTCTTCCTCTCCTTGCTGAGCTCGTACATGTCCTTCCTGAGCTCATCCTTCTCCTTCTTCACCTTTACCATCTCCCTTTTCATCACATCCCTCTCCTCCTCCACCCATTCATCTCCTTATTTAGATTTCTGATCACACCACTTGATCCAATTGATGTTCTTCAGACCATTGATGCTAAGTTGCTTCTTCTTCATCTCCTTCTCCACACCTTTACCGTCACCATTCAGTATATTATTGTAGTTCATTTGATGCACATGCTTCTCTTGTTCATCAAATATCTTGTTGAACATATGTGCTTCATTAATAGATGAATTGCCTGACAACACATTCTATTTTAACTATGAACACAATGACACTGTGATATATTAATAGAGGATAGTTTGAAAACAACAACAACTAGTAGTTTCACATGACAAAAACTGAACATATGTTCAATATCTACATGCAAAATTTAATAGTTTGTTAGCAATCTATGTGCAAAACACATGAACAAAGAACACTTCATGAAGCTATGGTAAGCACCTGCACCACCATCTCCACACATAATTCTTAAGAGTGGATGTGAATAAATTAACAACACTGTTAATAGCAAAATTTCTCTTACATTCTTAGCACATCCATGAAACCTCCAGCCAATGGGTCTGCCTTTGAAGCAGTGCAGATCTACAATTTGATCAATGTGGGAGCAACATTATAAAGGGTAGCATTTTTTTTGTCAAAACACATTACTAATAGTTAATAAAGTACTGAATATACATACGAATGCACTAGTAAAAAAATTATGCAAATTGTTTGTGGGGCCCATTGCCCCGCCACCCCACCCTAGATCCGTAATTGCTTTGAAGGCGACCAATCTCTTCACCTTGGAGTTGTGGTCAGGGGTGGATCTTCGTTGGGGCCGAACCAGGCCATGGCCCGCCCAGGAATCTCGTGATTATTTTTTATACCTATGCTTTGCTTCGTAGCCCACTCAGCCTAGTTACGATGGATCCAAGTCTCGAAGTTTTGGCACGAGCGCACACAATCGGAGCAGCAGCTGCCAGCTGGCTACGCCGCCACCTGCAACTTGCGCAGCTCGGATCTCGCGTCGGACAACCAGCGCTCATCCCCCTTCCAAGATCCCAAGTCCCCGGCCGCACAGATTGCACAGCCTCCTCGCCGCTAAATACACACTTCCTGTTGCTTGCCCCACGGCTTCGCCCGCCTTCTCGCGAGCTCGCCATGGCGGCATCCTCCATTCGGCCCTTCCTTCTAGGCTCCGGCCTCCACACTGGCCAATTCTGGCCCCGGGCGTCGGGATGCTGCCGCCCAAATGCCTCCGACCCTTGCCTCCTCTAACCACTGCAGTACATTGTGCTACCAACCAACTAGGTTCGCCTGTCCGCCGTCGAGTGCCAACGCCGAGTAGAGCTCAACTCTATGTTCACCTCCTGATGACGCTGCTGCTGGGTAGTTTCTAATTATCTCTAGAGCAGCATGCTTTTGTTATGAATTGAGCAACATTAATGCATTTTATTATCAATTCATATGTAGAATTACACGATAAAGAGATATTTTTCCTTTGTGCGTGACACATAATATTTTTTTATAAGTGCATTTTAGTGTAGGAACATCATTGAAACAAGGCATAATAAGGTAGAAGATGCGTCTCTTAGTTGTAACTTGTTTGCTAACATATAGGGTGAAATTGAACGAGAACAAAAGGGGCCAACTAATGGCTAATGCCTACAAAAATTCGAGCTCTTCCTTAGCTTGGCCCGCCCAACTTTTTCTTCCAAGCTCCGCCACTGGTTGTGGTAGCACAAAATAGGGACATCCTCCTCAATGCCTTCAAAGTTTGAGTCTTCAATGGTGTTAGGGGCCTTAAAACGACGAAAAAAAAATCAAATAGAAAGGAGTTCAAATCAAAGCTCCAGATTGAAAGCGCTAAAATCGTAGCCCTAGCCCCAACGACCAACCCTACCAAAGCATGTAGAATGCAAG